TTTACTCTATGTTAAAAGACCTCATTTAATGTCATTTAGCACTTTTCTCATCTAGTAACACATCCCCCACATTAAGAGGGGTCTTACTGTATATGTAAATTATACACTTTTATTTAATATTATTTAGGGCTTTGATTATTAAAATGATCAATGACACACTGCAGATTTCTTTTTCATAATAAGATAGCTTCTATCAATACAAATATATTTTTGATATAAGTAAATTAAATGGAATGGTTTCAAGTGTTTATTTATAATTCTGTTTGTAAATAATTAATTTGATAATTAGTCATTATTTTATCATTATTGCATACAGAGTTTTTCACATTCAAAGATACCTATTTTTTCATTTGTTTGCAAATAGTTTATAATGTAACAATAACTTACTTTATTGGAGTTTGATAAGTTTTTCTGAAATACTTTAAGCATGTTTCCAAAGATGTGAACATCATTGTTATTGATTTTCAAATTCAAGTTTAACCTTGTGTGGCACATTGTAAAATCATTAAAAAATGTATCAAAATGATCACTTTTTTAATTTTTGATCACTAAGCAAATATTTCATGAATTTTTACAGTACATTAGATATATCATTATTAATCAACATCACACCTTCCTTACATCTCCCTATAGCAAAGTGATTTTATGATCACACTGCATTACATTGCAGACTCTTTATTTGTGATTGTGGTTTGCTCTAAGACATTATAAAATAAAATGATTTTGTAAGGTTAAATAACAAATAGTTATTAAAATTATTTTGCAACAGTAGAAAATAAATTAATTTATGTTAAATTTACCAATATTTACATTCAATTTGTTGGAATCATGAGTGGTGCTGACAACGATGCCAAACAGTAGACATTAGAACTACCATGGAAAATGCCAATATTGAGTTTTTAAAGACTGCTAAATAAGATGGCAACACAGAGTCACAGATGTTTTCACATTACTTTCTCTGGGATTTATGATGATTATATTAATATTTACTGTAAATGTATATATTTCTAGTGATATTATGACTTCAATATTTGTGGAGGACAGACATAAAGTCTAATGGAATAAAATGACTTAAATTTGATTTTTATTTTTCCATATATTTTTTTTTTGACAAATGACATATAATGGAGAACGACTTAACTCGAAACGACATAATCCAAGGTATACCTGTACTGTATATAAAATGTGTATTGTGTATAAAATACATACATACCGTAAATTGCACAAAGTTAAAATTTTAGAATAAAGAATGAGGAGTAATCAACATATGTAATACTGTTATAATAATTAATAATTTTTTTGTTTCACAAGCACGATAAAATGCATTCAATCAGACACTGGGCAGCTTTTTATCCTTTATTTCTTTTTTAGTTGATATGTGTTTCAGGCCACAATGCTCCTCCTCAGTCAACTATTTTAAAAAATGTACATGGTTATTACATAGCATTAAATTATTAAGATAACACATGTAATTACAAAGAATATACCTTCTGTTCTGTATTACACATTAGCTGATTTTGAGTGATTTTCTAACATAGTTTCTTAAAATTGGGTATGCATGATTACAGAGTTTTCTTTTCATTCTGCCATTTAATAAATTATATTACGTTTCTATATAGTATTAAGCATATAATTTAACATTTCAAATGACATACCTGTTGTGTTCTTTTAAGACAAAAGCTTGTAAATTATTAAAACACTTTTTGTTAAAACTTCAACAATACATGTTTAGTTTAAACATTCTGGAAGGTTTCTTGTAAAAAGGAAATTTTCTGATCATGCACTCTCTCTTACAGTACTTCATTATTCTCATCGCTTAATCTTGCACCAAATTTCTAATTTACTTTTTATTTACATGATTACCCTATAGCTAGATTTTTCCAAATTTTTCATTATCAAAAAATTATAAGTCATTAAGAGATATTTTTTTAATAACATCTTCTGATATCTTTCTTTCCCAATTTTCACAGGTCATTTTTAGTAATGCATAACTAATTTAAATACATTTATGATGAAAATACAATAATCTTTTTTACAATAGTTTTTATTACAATTTTTAATATTTCCAATTTATAAAACTTATAGCTTATACTTATTTAATTTTATGTTCAGTTTCTTTACAATATTTGTAACCAGTTCTCATTTATTTTGATGCTATGATTTTTGTTTATACTATTTTTATTATTCAGAATCTCTATGCTTTCTTTAAGTTTTCTACTGTATGCATAGAGATTCTGAATAATAAAAATAGTATAAACAAAAATCATACTACTAAATCATACTATTTCTACTGTATGCATCTTTTTCTTTTTGTAAAATTTTTATATTGTCTTTGTCTATGTTACAATTATATAGTGTACAGTGTTCATAGAACACTGAGTTGTTCCTGCAGTATTTTAGATTGCTATATATTCCTTAAGTCTAACTTTTATTTTTTGTTTAATCTCTTCTATATAATATCAGGCAATCCTATAGTGTCTGATTGAATACACTTTATCGTGCTTGTGAAACAAAACATAGAACAACATGGTTTCAAATTAGTAAAGAGTAATTAATAATGATTTTTTTTTATTTGGAATGCTGTAAACCTGGCAGGTCTTGGATAAGGCCAAAAACGTTTGAAATTTTCATTAAATTTATGTTACTGGTGTTTAAAGGTTATTGATTCGTTTGTTTGTTAAATCTGACAATTATATATTAGTGTAAATGATTTCAATCTATTAATTAAAATAATAAAAAAATAATATAATTTTGTATTTGATGATTTATTTTTATTTTTTTTGCAGGATATTTTTATTTTCAATTCATTAATTGATATAAAGTGATATTTTTAATTAAATATTCAGGAAAACAATGTCTGAAAAGTATGTATGATATATTTTTTATTTAGTTTTTATGCAATAAATATCTAGTATAAGATTAATTGATAAGATATTCCAGTTGTAATTCATTTTCTTATGATTTTTTAAAATTTAAATACAGTGTAAAAGATTAGTTCTTTACTAATAAAATTTTAAATAGGAAATTATCTGTTTATTAAAAGCACCAATTAACACCTATAATCCAGTTAATATGAACCAATTTATTATAAGAACAAAAGATTTCAATTGTCTTTAACAGCCATCATTGTATTTTTTTTTTCCAACATCTTTTTTATGCATGTAATTACTAGCATGAATTTAATGAGTTTTATTTTATTTAAATTTTGTTCTATGTAACATTCCTAACTTGAAGATGGCTGTTAAAGACAGTTGAAAACATTTGTTCTTATAATAAATTGGTTCGTATTAACTGAATTACAGGTGTCAGTTGGTGCTTTTAATGTATCTCATCCAGTTTTGCAGTATCTTTTAATTGTTTTCTGAGTTTTGAAAAAATTTAAACATTAAGTTTGTCAAATAGTTTTGAATAATGATTAATTGGTTTGTCTGTACTTGAACAAAACTTAATTTAATAGTAATTTCTTAAAAGTATAAGAAGAAAAATATTTTGACTCAAGTTAAATCTCAGAGAAAAAAAATTCTTGTTGGAATAAGAAGCAAATTTCTAATGCATCAATGTATCAATAATAAGTAATGTAGTATAATTTGCTTATTGTAAATCACTTTGAGACTTACCTAAACCAATAATAATCATCAACTGATGACATTAAGTGGCATAAGTGAATAACACTACAATTATAGCAAATTCTGGTTTCATTGACTGTGATTGTGATATTAAGTAGACATGTTAAAACAATTAAATATATTAATCTTCAGTTTATATATTATATTATTATTTAATTGATATTTAATTTAAAATTTTTCCCTGTTTATGTTAAAATATAGTTGATAATTACAGTNTTCACCTGAAATTAGTAGTGTCTTGCCCTTGTACATCATACTTTTCCTGTTAACAATAGTCATACTGGTCATTTATCTTACTCCTTTCTTAGGAAACTTTTGAATTGAAATCATGTGACTTCTGATTTGAACTAGAAGTTCATATATAGTTAATTAGGGCTGCCTACCCTGAACTTTCCATATCTGGTCTTGACTTTTATCTAACTCCATTCTCAAGATTAAGGAAGGACAGACAGATGACAACAGTGGAAATTTATAGGTCTACAATTTTTTCAAATTACAGCCCAATATTCTAGGAAATGATTGGCATTGGAAACACTTGAAACAATAACAGAGAATGCCAGAAAGTTTTCACATATCATTGAATAGATCAATTAGAATAGACTATAGACATTGAGAGTGATAAATTTACAAGCATACTTCATTCTTGAAAATTTCTCATAAATCAAAATGAGCTTTTCCATTATTTTTATGGTCCAATTTTATAGCTCATGTTGGCTTAACCCAGTCACTCTATACACATTCCCCAAATAACAGTAATGTATTATGAAATGCTTGATAAACTATTGATGAATGATTCTAAATGAAATTAAATAAATGAAAGTGTTGTTTAGGAATTAAATTATTCATTGATAAAACAGTTAATATGCATGAAATAAGAGAAGCAAATACATTATCAGACATTTCATTAATGTAAAAAGAACAAAAATTAATGAATACAATAAGCAAGCAGAAAACAAACAAAATGGCATAAAATAAATTTTTTTTTAATTAATGGAATTATAATCACTGATAGAAGGATTTGGAATATAAAGATAAAGTATAGTAAATTAGACCAGTGTTTCTCAATGACTAGTGTAGTTTCAATGACTATATGAAAGTTTTTTTTGTTTATTGCGTGTGACTTTTTGTATAAATTTATTTCATTATTGTTTTAAAATTTGAATATGTTTTCATGAAGGCAAAAGAATCAGAATAAATAAATTTTAAATATGATAAAGTTTTATATTATGTATTCATTTAACAATGTTACTGTACTGGTACAAATTAATGTGTTCCTATTTGGATTTCAGAGTTCTAAAACTTAGGTTACTCTATTTTGTATTTTAAAAAATTCAAAATAAAAAATTTTGCATATTAATAATAATAATTTTTCAGAGAGAAGAAAAATGTTGAAATCATGGTGGGTTTTAGCATAAATAAAGAAAAACTTACTAATAAGGACTACAGTTTTGCTGGTGCAGCAAGTGGAGCTATCACTAGATTTTTATTTCAACCTTTAGATGTTGTCAAAATTCGTTTTCAGGTAAATATTGTCAGTAATTCATTAAAAACTTAATGGAAAAACAACAAAAAAAACCATCACTCTTACTCCCAATTCTGAGCACTTTTGATCTTCCAAACTCATCTTCAGGAGCAGAAACTACAAAAATTGCCCATTCAAAAATTCTAATTCTTTGGAATTCTACTTTGTAATTTTAAATCAAATTCATTCTAACAAAAACTTTTCAAACTTAATTCCAATATCTTTCCAACTTGTGTACTGTTTTCTTTACTCCAAAAGAATATACTCTTCTTTTTAACTCTCCTATTCTAACCAACCTCTTTCTTCTCTCCTCCATTGTTGGTGTCATACTAACCATTTGCTCTTCCTTTTCTGCTTTTAGCTCTTCCTCTCTCTCATTTTCTGCTTCACCATCTTTGAGATAAACTGTCCTAGAATCCAAAATTTTCTGTTTTTAATATATTCTGCTCCTCTATTATCTCTTCCAATAGATACAAGGATAAAATGAATTTTTAAAGATAACAGTTTCCAGAGGTCATAAAAGAAACTGTAGGTTCTCCAAGGTTCAATGGAATTTTTGACTGATAGTAGAAAAGAAGAAATTTCTCTACTCAGACTAGAAAAGGAACAAAGTAAGATGATTGAAGGGTGAAGAAATTGGTTACTCTTGGACTGTGAGAAGCATTTGTTAGACATATTATATCAGATGATATTTGAGTCATATTTTCAATTTGAAGGAAGATATAAGCAGAAAAGAGCCTATTGCCTCACCTTTAGCAAGAATTTTAGTTAAATTACTAATAACAAAGATAGAGAAATATTGGAAGAGTTTGGAAATAAGATGAAGACACATTGATGATGTGTTAGTTATATGGAAGAAAGAGGGAATGTTAAATCAGACTTTTTGGATAAGACAGTAAGGTTAAAATTAACAATGGAACAAAAATCAGAAGACAATTCATTGTTTTGTGTATTTGGATAGTCAAAGGTATTGAAGAATGTAAGATGAGACTATACAGAAAAGACTACGATTAGACTAATTCATATACAGTAGAACCTCGAAAACTCGGCTCTCGATAACCCGGCACTCCGGATAACTCGGGCACACCCTGGCAGGGCAAAAAAATNGCTCCTCCTCAGTCAACTATTTTAAAAAATGTACATGGTTATTACATAGCATTAAATTATTAAGATAACACATGTAATTACAAAGAATATACCTTCTGTTCTGTATTACACATTAGCTGATTTTGAGTGATTTTCTAACATAGTTTCTTAAAATTGGGTATGCATGATTACAGAGTTTTCTTTTCATTCTGCCATTTAATAAATTATATTACGTTTCTATATAGTATTAAGCATATAATTTAACATTTCAAATGACATACCTGTTGTGTTCTTTTAAGACAAAAGCTTGTAAATTATTAAAACACTTTTTGTTAAAACTTCAACAATACATGTTTAGTTTAAACATTCTGGAAGGTTTCTTGTAAAAAGGAAATTTTCTGATCATGCACTCTCTCTTACAGTACTTCATTATTCTCATCGCTTAATCTTGCACCAAATTTCTAATTTACTTTTTATTTACATGATTACCCTATAGCTAGATTTTTCCAAATTTTTCATTATCAAAAAATTATAAGTCATTAAGAGATATTTTTTTAATAACATCTTCTGATATCTTTCTTTCCCAATTTTCACAGGTCATTTTTAGTAATGCATAACTAATTTAAATACATTTATGATGAAAATACAATAATCTTTTTTACAATAGTTTTTATTACAATTTTTAATATTTCCAATTTATAAAACTTATAGCTTATACTTATTTAATTTTATGTTCAGTTTCTTTACAATATTTGTAACCAGTTCTCATTTATTTTGATGCTATGATTTTTGTTTATACTATTTTTATTATTCAGAATCTCTATGCTTTCTTTAAGTTTTCTACTGTATGCATAGAGATTCTGAATAATAAAAATAGTATAAACAAAAATCATACTACTAAATCATACTATTTCTACTGTATGCATCTTTTTCTTTTTGTAAAATTTTTATATTGTCTTTGTCTATGTTACAATTATATAGTGTACAGTGTTCATAGAACACTGAGTTGTTCCTGCAGTATTTTAGATTGCTATATATTCCTTAAGTCTAACTTTTATTTTTTGTTTAATCTCTTCTATATAATATCAGGCAATCCTATAGTGTCTGATTGAATACACTTTATCGTGCTTGTGAAACAAAACATAGAACAACATGGTTTCAAATTAGTAAAGAGTAATTAATAATGATTTCTTTTTTTTTTTGTTATTTGGAATGCTGTAAACCTGGCAGGTCTTGGATAAGGCCAAAAACGTTTGAAATTTTCATTAAATTTATGTTACTGGTGTTTAAAGGTTATTGATTCGTTTGTTTGTTAAATCTGACAATTATATATTAGTGTAAATGATTTCAATCTATTAATTAAAATAATAAAAAAATAATATAATTTTGTATTTGATGATTTATTTTTATTTTTTTTTGCAGGATATTTTTATTTTCAATTCATTAATTGATATAAAGTGATATTTTTAATTAAATATTCAGGAAAACAATGTCTGAAAAGTATGTATGATATATTTTTTATTTAGTTTTCATGCAATAAATATCTAGTATAAGATTAATTGATAAGATATTCCAGTTGTAATTCATTTTCTTATGATTTTTTAAAATTTAAATACAGTGTAAAAGATTAGTTCTTTACTAATAAAATTTTAAATAGGAAATTATCTGTTTATTAAAAGCACCAATTAACACCTATAATCCAGTTAATATGAACCAATTTATTATAAGAACAAAAGATTTCAATTGTCTTTAACAGCCATCATTGTATTTTTTTTTTCCAACATCTTTTTTATGCATGTAATTACTAGCATGAATTTAATGAGTTTTATTTTATTTAAATTTTGTTCTATGTAACATTTCTAACTTGAAGATGGCTGTTAAAGACAGTTGAAAACATTTGTTCTTATAATAAATTGGTTCGTATTAACTGAATTACAGGTGTCAGTTGGTGCTTTTAATGTATCTCATCCAGTTTTGCAGTATCTTTTAATTGTTTTCTGAGTTTTGAAAAAATTTAAACATTAAGTTTGTCAAATAGTTTTGAATAATGATTAATTGGTTTGTCTGTACTTGAACAAAACTTAATTTAATAGTAATTTCTTAAAAGTATAAGAAGAAAAATATTTTGACTCAAGTTAAATCTCAGAGAAAAAAATTCTTGTTGGAATGAGAAGCAAATTTCTAATGCATCAATGTACCAATAATAAGTAATGTAGTATAATTTGCTTATTGTAAATCACTTTGAGACTTACCTAAACCAATAATAATCATCAACTGATGACATTAAGTGGCATAAGTGAATAACACTACAATTATAGCAAATTCTGGTTTCATTGACTGTGATTGTGATATTAAGTAGACATGTTAAAACAATTAAATATATTAATCTTCAGTTTATATATTATATTATTATTTAATTGATATTTAATTTAAAATTTTTCCCTGTTTATGTTAAAATATAGTTGATAATTACAGTTACAATGAGATCTTGATTTATGATACTTTATGTGAAAATTTGATACAATAAGTTGTTTGCTTTTATCCATCTTTTTCATTTATAAGAAAATATTTGATGCAGTGAGCACCATTGATATTTACAAAAACAAAATATTTTAATCAGGAGTGTAGTAAGATTGAAATTTCCACATGTACATATTGGGTATCTCATGGTATCAATTTTCATTTTCTTTATATCATTCGTATGGTCTACATTTGCTAGGAGTAGTGTTATTTATTCATTTTAACACAGTTCCTAATCAGTGTTTCTCATCAAGCACTGGTAAAATTATAGATATTTTATGTGGACCAGTAATTATATACAGGTAACCCCCGTATAACATGGCACTTCTATAGCACAGATTTACTCTAACATGGTTCGAGAATTGGATAAAACCCTCATACATGAAATGTAATAAAAACTATTAAAAGTGAACTTTATCTAATTTGAAATTAGGGAAATCCTTGTATAATAGTTCAATAAACATGATAAAGCTTTTAAGTGTGAAAGATACCTTATTTGACATTTTTCATTCGAGTGCTTACATACTATCAGATTTCCTGCATAATTTTCATGAACTATTAGTACTTAAGTATGTAAATTTTCTGTTTCTGCCTTCTATCGATACAAGTGGTCCTTCTCGAAACTTGTTTCAGTGTTGCCAGATCTCAATGCTTCTGCTTTTATGTTGCCAAATGTTTTTCCCTTATTCCATACTTGCTTTATTCTGTCACTGGTTTTAAGGCATTGAACCGCACCTTCGACCCTTAGGACCTCCACACCTTTACAAGTATACTTTAAGACTTTAATTGTGACTTTTTTTTAATATGTATTACTTCTTAAGAAAATTTTAATAAAGATATTTATCTTAATTATGAAAATGTAATAGCATGTTTTTTAATTTTTGGAACCTAACCTAACCCTCCTTTTCGTACTAGTTCTTTGTTTCCTATAACACGGATTCGCATAACATGGCAATTTTTTGGAATGTAACTACCGTGTTATATGGGGGTTACCTGTATTTGAAATCATTTTAAAATTATATTAAATTATTTACCAATATAAAAGCAGTCAGTCATCTGTGTGTGTGTGAATTCCTTATAACTCCTGCAATTTTTTTCCAATCAAAATGAAATTTTCATTATATTCATTTTATGTCTGACAGAAAGTATAGGCTATTTATTTTGCAGAAATATTGCCTTAGAACAAACATTTGATTTCAGATCAGTGACTACACTTATGTTGCAGTGACATCAGTGACCTCATTTAGTTCATGCTTGACGAAGAAATTTTCATTAAGTTGCATTTTTAAATATTTTAGCAAATGGCGTATTTTAAACTTACTTCATTAAATTTAAAAAATGATAGCCACATTATGTCATTTCAACAAATTTTTTTTAAAAACCTTTCCCTTAGT